CCCTCGGCTGGGCCGCGGTCCTGCCTTCCGGCGAGGCCACGATCTAGCCGAGGCAAGGAGAGGCCTGGGCTGGATCGCGGCCTCGCTGGAAGGTGGGACCACGGCCCTGCCGAGGGCTCTCCTCGCACGGAGTCTCCCTCGGCTGGGCCGCGGTCCTGCCTTCCGGCGAGGCCACGATCTAGCCGAGGCAAGGAGAGGCCTGGGCTGGATCGCGGCCTCGCTGGAAGGTGGGACCACGGCCCTGCCGAGGGCTCTCCTCGCACGGAGTCTCCCTCGGCTGGGCCGCGGTCCTGCCTTCCGGCGAGGCCACGATCTAGCCGAGGCAAGGAGAGGCCTGGGCTGGATCGCGGCCTCGCTGGAAGGTGGGACCACGGCCCTGCCGAGGGCTCTCCTCGCACGGAGTCTCCCTCGGCTGGGCCGCGGTCCCGCCTTCCGGCGAGGCCACGATCTAGCCGAGGCAAGGAGAGGCCTGGGCTGGATCGCGGCCTCGCTGGAAGGTGGGACCACGGCCCTGCCGAGGGCTCTCCTCGCACGGAGTCTCCCTCGGCTGGGCCGCGGTCCTGCCTTCCGGCGAGGCCACGATCTAGCCGAGGCAAGGAGAGGCCTGGGCTGGATCGCGGCCTCGCTGGAAGGTGGGACCACGGCCCTGCCGAGGGCTCTCCTCGCACGGAGTCTCCCTCGGCTGGGCCGCGGTCCTGCCTTCCGGCGAGGCCACGATCTAGCCGAGGCAAGGAGAGGCCTGGGCTGGATCGCGGCCTCGCTGGAAGGTGGGACCACGGCCCTGCCGAGGGCTCTCCTCGCACGGAGTCTCCCTCGGCTGGGCCGCGGTCCTGCCTTCCGGCGAGGCCACGATCTAGCCGAGGCAAGGAGAGGCCTGGGCTGGATCGCGGCCTCGCTGGAAGGTGGGACCACGGCCCTGCCGAGGGCTCTCCTCGCACGGAGTCTCCCTCGGCTGGGCCGCGGTCCTGCCTTCCGGCGAGGCCACGATCTAGCCGAGGCAAGGAGAGGCCTGGGCTGGATCGCGGCCTCGCTGGAAGGTGGGACCACGGCCCTGCCGAGGGCTCTCCTCGCACGGAGTCTCCCTCGGCTGGGCCGCGGTCCTGCCTTCCGGCGAGGCCACGATCTAGCCGAGGCAAGGAGAGGCCTGGGCTGGATCGCGGCCTCGCTGGAAGGTGGGACCACGGCCCTGCCGAGGGCTCTCCTCGCACGGAGTCTCCCTCGGCTGGGCCGCGGTCCTGCCTTCCGGCGAGGCCACGATCTAGCCGAGGCAAGGAGAGGCCTGGGCTGGATCGCGGCCTCGCTGGAAGGTGGGACCACGGCCCTGCCGAGGGCTCTCCTCGCACGGAGTCTCCCTCGGCTGGGCCGCGGTCCTGCCTTCCGGCGAGGCCACGATCTAGCCGAGGCAAGGAGAGGCCTGGGCTGGATCGCGGCCTCGCTGGAAGGTGGGACCACGGCCCTGCCGAGGGCTCTCCTCGCACGGAGTCTCCCTCGGCTGGGCCGCGGTCCTGCCTTCCGGCGAGGCCACGATCTAGCCGAGGCAAGGAGAGGCCTGGGCTGGATCGCGGCCTCGCTGGAAGGTGGGACCACGGCCCTGCCGAGGGCTCTCCTCGCACGGAGTCTCCCTCGGCTGGGCCGCGGTCCTGCCTTCCGGCGAGGCCACGATCTAGCCGAGGCAAGGAGAGGCCTGGGCTGGATCGCGGCCTCGCTGGAAGGTGGGACCACGGCCCTGCCGAGGGCTCTCCTCGCACGGAGTCTCCCTCGGCTGGGCCGCGGTCCCGCCTTCCGGCGAGGCCACGATCTAGCCGAGGCAAGGAGAGGCCTGGGCTGGATCGCGGCCTCGCTGGAAGGTGGGACCACGGCCCTGCCGAGGGCTCTCCTCGCACGGAGTCTCCCTCGGCTGGGCCGCGGTCCTGCCTTCCGGCGAGGCCACGAGCCCAGGCCTCTCCTCGCTCCCCCCTTGGCAGGTTCACGCTATCCATCAGGCCCGATGGACAGCGTGAGCCAGCCAAGGGAGGCTGCTCCGCGTGGTCTACTCACGAGTAAAGCATCTCGCGAGGTGCTTTACTCACAAGTAGGCCGTGCGGACCTGCTCCTCCCTTGGCAGGCTCATGCTATCCGTCAGGCCTGATGGACAGCGTGAGCCAGCCAAGGAAGGCTGCCCCGGCGCTACATGCAGTCATGCTGGCCACATGTCCTTGGAGGTGTCTATGGACAACATCGGCTCTTCGACTTAGAAATGCAGATGAGCATCACAGAGTCAGACATGACTGGACTTCATGTCAGAGGAAAACCTTTAACCAGGAAAATTGTGGAAGATCCATGATGGGAGAAAGAACTCGTCTGTTGGAGGTAGGTATGAATGTTTCAATTGGCCACCTTGATTGCCATTTCATAGCCTGACAGTTTTTAGGGAGAATCCTTTGTTGAGAGGTGATTAGCTGGCCCTGATTGTTTCTTGTTTGGAGTTCCCCTGTGTTTGAGTGTTGTTCTTTATTTACAGTTATAATTTTAGAGTTTTTTAAATACTGGTAGCCAGATTTTGTTCAGACTAGAAATAGGAAGATTTCCCCTTCTCTGCTCCTGGAATTACTGCCTCAAGAGGGCGAGAAAGAACCCCCTCCCTCTCAGGGCCCTTCCACACCGCAAAATAAGATATCTGCAATGTGCAGAGGGATTTTTTAATTGATTTAAAAAAAAACTATAGTCCGGCCCTCCATCGGTCTGAGGGACAGTAAACTGGCCCCCGGTTTAAAAAGTTTGAGGACCCCTGGTCATGGGAATTCTGTGTGCTACATTTGGCTCAATTCCATCGTTGGTGGAGTTCAGAATGCTCTTTGATTGTAGGTGAACTATAAATCCCAGCAACTACAACTCTCAAATGACAAAATAAATCCTCCCCAACCCCACCAGTATTTAAATGCGGGCATATTAGGTATCTGTGCCAAATTTGATCCAGTGAATGAAAATACACCTGCATAACAGATATTTACATTATGGTTCATAACAGTAGCAAAATGACAGTTATGAAGTAGCAACAGAAATAATTTTATGGTTGGGGGTCACCACAACATAAGGAACTGGATTAAGGGGTCACGGCATTAGGAAGGTTGAGAAACACTGCTGTAAGCTGTATGCTGCTCTTTAGAAAGAAATGCAGAGACATGCCTTTTGTAAGTTGGAAGATAGAATTTGATATTTCTATGATGCTAAAGTGACATAGTGAATTATGTCAATGTATGTAGAAGCATGTTTCTTTGTTTGCCTGCATTTGGAGGGTATAAAAGGCAAAGACAACGCCTTTATCGATTGCTCTGGTTGCTTTTGGACACAGCTCCACTCCAGGGTCCCAGCTGGAAATAAAGCCGTACTTTTCTTTCTCCGAAAAGGATCTCTCTTGATATATATTACATGTAATATTACTAATAATATTACAATATAATGGTATAGTACAATATAGTAATATATAATACTGATATTGTACTATGCTAATAATATAATATATTGTATGTATATATATCTTTTAAGCCGCTCTGAGTCCCCTTTGGGGTAAGAAGGGCGGCATATAAATGTCGTAAATAAATAAATAAATAAAATAATAAAGTTTGAAACTGCATTATAGGGCAGTGTAGATGCAGCCTAAGTTGCACTGGCATAGGATATACAGGTGGGATTACACTGGCAATGTGTTTGCTCCTATTGTGCTTCACACAGCACATTCAAAAGAAAAGAAATACACATTTTCCAAAAGTGTATGGAACATACATATTTTACCAAATGGAGTGCTTTGTCCACCACTATAAGACATTGAAATTTGAAAGGAAGCAATAAACATTAAGGGTGCCCATACTTGTTTTTTCTGTGCAGATTCCACTTCTTTAGTGCCTTGCTGATGTCTACAAAGGTTTCAACATCATAAAAACGGTTGCAGAGATATTGGAGAACACCAACTTTTACAGGATTCGTAGTGGAACCAGTTGAACTGCTGTTATAGCGAGAAGTAGAGTACAGCAATGAGACCATGCCTCGGCATTGTCGGAGCTGAGGAAAGAAGAAAGCCAATGGGAAGGTGATTCATTTTTCAGGAACTGCAGCACATACCAGAATAAGGCATCAATGCAGCTGAGCTGCATCAACAAGATAATAGAATCCAGTTCAAATATTAGTGCCATTTTATTCTGCTTTAATCAGACCTCACTAGGAAAACCACAGTTCTGGAACGATATTGGAGCATATTCTAAGGAGGGCAACCAAGATTATCAAAGATTTTGAACATAATGTCTTATGAAAAATGACTGAAGGATCTGAGTATGTTTAGAGAAGACTGAGAGGTGAAATGATAGCTGTCTTTAAGCATCGGATGGGATATTATATAGAAGAAGAGCAAATTTGTTTTCTACCAATCTAGAAATTAGAATAAGGCCTTTAAAATTACAAAAGAAAACAAGATTCTACCTAAATATTTGGAAGAATGTCTTTACTGTAGGAACCATTATTATGCATCACTTTTTGCATATTATAAAGCTGTACACTTAACCATGCTTTAAAATACAGCTGCTCAAATGAATGGCGATTGATCCTGACTTGTATATCATGGATTTCAATGATACAATTAAGTGGATCCAATCCATTCTTTGGGAGAGATAGTACATACATGTATACATCTATATAAATAAAAATGTAATGTTCGTTTGTGGGATTAACAGAACTCAAAAACCACTGGACCAATTGACACCAAATTTGGACACAAGACACCTAACAACCCAATGTATGTCCTTCACTAAAAAAAATGATTTTGTCATTTGGGAGTTGTAGTTGCTGGGATTTATAGTTCACCCACAATATGAACCCCACCAACGATGGAATTGAATCAAACAGCGCACAGTTCTCCCATGACCAATGGAAAATACTGGGTTTGATGGGCAGCGTCCTTTGATTTTGGAGTTGTAGTTCGCCTACATCAAGAGAGCACAGTGGACTCAAACGATGATGGATTTGGACCAAACTCTACACGAATACTCAATATGCCCAAATGTGAACACTGGTGGAGTTTGGGGGAAATAGAATCTTGACATTTGGGAGTTGTAGTTGCTGGGATTTGTAGTTCACCGACAATCACAGAGCATTCTGAATCCCAGCAATGACAGAATTGAACCAAACCTCCCACATAGAACCCACAGCAACGCATGGCAGGGGACAGCTAGTATACTACTAAAACCATGTTGCCTTTACATTGTTGGAAAATTACCCAACAATTATATCATACACACTAAAAGATCCAAACTCTTGTGCAACCAGAGTTGATTATGGCTTAAACTTCTATGGAATTGTGGACCATGCGGTTCATGAATACTTATGGTATAATAAACATATTCGATGTTAAGGCACCAAAGCACTCTGTGCAATTTTGCTGTAACAGAATAATATGGCTGTGACCTAGAAATGATATATAGAGTATAACTGCAGAAAAACTTCACTAAGGCATGGTCCTGTAATATTGCAGTGCCACCAACTGCCAGTTGCACAGCAACTGAACTGGCAACTGTTTGAGGACTGAGGTCCAACAGTGAGGTTCGCACATTGTGCTGGAACATGGGAGAGGGACTTCGCACAGCTGTAGCACCACAATTGTGGAACAACTTTTGTTCCGGAGACCCAGTCAACACTAACTTGGCTGTACATCAATTACAATTAATCAGTTGACCTATTGTCCTATTGCATTCTAGCCATTACCCTTCCATTTGAGAACACTTGTCCTCCAGCCCAGACCTTTTAAATAGTCCTTAAATTAGCCCTGGAAATTAGTGGCCCCTGGTCCCCCAGTATGACCATTGCTGAGACCGGCTTCTGCACTGTAGCATTCTGTTTCCCCATGCCTCCCTTTTCTCTGCACTAGTTTCAGCCCAGCCCGCCCAATAGCTTAGGCTTTTTATCAGAATTGTGGCCCCAAGTAGCTTACCTTGCACAAAATAAGAGAGCAGAACTGTTTTTATATTGATTTTAATTATATATGTTAATGTTTTATGCTTTATTTTTCCTTTTGTATGTCTGTTGTATTTATGCATATTTGGAAACCGCTGAGTCTCCTAGGGGAGAAAGGGTAGTATATAAATAAAGTTTTATTATTATTACTATTATTATTGTCCATCCTCCCTTCCTTTATAGTGTTGCTTGTTACTACCATATTTACTCGAGTCTAGTGTACCACTGAATCTAATTTGCACCTCAATTTTCAAAACCCTGAAACCAAAAAAAAAAAA